TTTTTTTTTTTTAGATCATCAAAAGGATCAAGAGAACAGAATTGTCGCGAGAGGATGAGCCTTCGTTGGATTCACGAAAACTTAGAAGCACCAACATGCGACGAGGAATGCAGCGACATCGATGACAGTTGCAGCGACGACAGCTACGATTCCGATCTATCGATCGGCGAAGAGAAAGGGCCGACCAACGAAAAGGAGATCAATGGCGATCGCAGGAGGAAAAGGGAGACCAGGAGGCATCCAACTACCACAGTGAAGTTCGACGAGAACGGGTATTTGCCGATAATTACGAGCTGTCGATAGCCGAGAATAAGATCGAATCTTCGTTACGTTGTACAGGCATTAGTCGAGTTACAATTTGAACGGCAAACTTTAATTGACAATTGATTTTATTCGACGAGAATTTTTAATTAAAAAAAAAAAAATCTCACCTATTACGAAAGCTAATCAACAAAAAAAAAATAAATAAATAAATAGACTGATGAATAATTTGACAATCGATTGCGAATTGGAGAAATCTCACTCGTGAAATAAAAATGGGAATAAGAATAATATTTAAGATGAAATTATATATAATGTGTGTAATTATTAGACTTAAATTTGTTTATATTTAGAAAATTTACACATGGAATATATTACAAAATATGTAACATATACAAAATACAGTATTTGTTGCAATATTTAATTTCTTTTTTAAATATTTTCTCAAAAATATGAATTTTCATAAAAATACACGGTCTAGTAATTGTAGCATGTTGTACCAATTAAATTTTATTTTCATTTTATTTTGTTCCTATTTTTATATCACACCAATTTCACAGTAAATCTTATTCTTATTCTACACTGTTTTAAATTGTAATAATTCTCGGAAATGTTTCAATACTTATATATTTCGAATCGTCTTTTCTTTTTTACGATTCGACCAATCGATCAATCGAGCATCCCTGTAAATTTTTCTCCGCGAGCGGGTGGCAAGCTAGCAACAACAATAAGCCTGCAGACGTAATTTCCCTCCAACGTGCACCTACAATAAACGTTCATTAATCACTTGAATCGATTAATCCTCCACCTAGCCGCGCATATACTGCCTAGCGAAGTTAACAGTTTTAAATTTCATACTTATTCATGCGTCGTCCCTTCCGTCCGTTCACGAACGTTTTCGATTCTCGAAGGTGAAATTAATCAATCCGCTGCGTGGCGAAAAGGGTCAGTGAGCACGGTGACAAAGCTGTCAGGTTTCTAGACGATGAGTACCAAATGGAAAGGATGATTATCGTAAACAAAAGCCACGGAGACGTGGTGGCTGTTGCACAAGGAACCGTAACGAGTTCATCGATCACCTAACTAGATTTATTTTCCGCCCCGTGCCGTCGTAAAGTCGCTTCACATTTATCAATCTTCCCGACGCTCTACTTTGTAGATCGTTAAAACGGCGTGTAAATCAATAGTTAATTAAACGACTTTTGCGACAAACAGTCCGTCGTTTGAAATATTTTTACACGCGTGTACGAAATATACGTAGATTTATGCTGGGAATATATTTTTTTCATTAAATAAATGGCGCGTATTAGGACTGAATTTCATTTGAGAAAAATAGATTTCGTTTATGAAAGAATTTTAACTTTAGACTTAAGATTAACGAATTCAAATTATACAATATTTTTCATCTGAAAAAAATAAGGGGTTGATCGATTTTCCTATCTGTCAAATATTATTCTAAAATATTATAATAGATTTATCTACAATACAATGTATTGTATACTATTATACAAATACATAAATTATTAATTATTTATTAATATATTAATTTATCTATAAATATAACTACATTTAATTAATAATTAATTATTTATTAATATATTATATTTATCTATAAATATACCTACGTTGAAAATAGTTATATTATCCAATAATTGTAACAGAACTGACATGAGCAACGATACGAAATAATTCTACCAGAATTTGCAATTCTAACAGGTAACTCTCTAATTTTCTATGTAACTTCGTGTCAAAGATGCGGAATTGCCAGTGTAAAGTGAGAAACCCCAAAATCTCCTTCTAGAATATCGATGAAAGAACAGTAGCAAAGTCACCCTGTGCGTCGCGATGTGCGATGTACATTCATTGATCACTTGATTCGATTAACTTTCTGCTCTATATTGTCGCAGGGTCAATAGGTGCTACGGTGTAGGTATGGTTCACGTTATATTATTACCGGCATTCGAGCACCGTGGCAACCAGCGAGGCCGCAATTCCGCGCGAATTGCATTAAAGCACACGCACGACGTGAAACGCGAAATTAGGATCGACGTGTTTATGACCGTGTGTGCTCGTGTTTCAACAAATAGATCGTAGCACGCGTTCAAAGTTTAATTAACGGGGGCGTGTTTGCGCAAGACGTCAAGACGTGATCATTTTTTAAGGTGACGAATTTCAAACGGGTGAAATCATTCCGTTTCGTCGTGCGAGCAGCGTGCTTGGAATTCTCACTCCGTGAAAATTTCATTATTGGCAGATACTTTCGGTACTTCACTTTCATTTTTCGCATCGATCAGTCGCGTTTGTTGGATGTACGTTCTTTTGAAAAAAATTTATTCTAAAGAGACATTAATTTTATTTTGTAGATAACGTGATATGTAAATTGAGTGTAATTATTTATCGAGAATGATAAGAGGGATTACGTAAAATTATTACTTGATAAATATATAATTGTATTAATGTACATGATAAATTTTAACACAGTTATCTATTAAAGCTATACTTCTAAGATTCTACCAAACAGAATATTCAAAGTACTAGATCTACGAATAAAAAGAATACACGCGATATTTTTGCATTTCTATGTAAGTGTGTATACTTACGAGAAAAGTGAAGCTGCAGAAAAATAAGTCTTGAGCGGTAACTTTTCTTCTATTTTGTAACGAAACTCGACCAATCGCGTGATCCGTCCTGTATACTCATTATTGGTACCATTAGCTTGATTATCTTCGGTTGATGCTTTGCTTATGTCGAATAAAGGCTATCGGTATGGCGTTCCTTCCCCTCGAGCATCTGTTTAAAATTAACAGGGTTGGAAAACATGCGCGGTGTAACAAAGCACGCTTCATTCACGAAGCCTGCTGACCTGAAAAGTCGATCGGCCCATTTTTCCAAACGTACAGACACGTTGTAAATATAGCGTGTGCCGAGCTGCTGCTTTACATTAGATCCCTTTAGTATTACTTACCATATTCTGTTTTTCATTTTCACTGTAGCAACCGATATTTCATCGCTAAATTACTTATCACAATATTGTTGTTATATATTTGAATATTATTCTCATTGAAAAAGTAAGAAACTGTTAAACTTAATAGATGTATTAATCCGTGAAGAATTGAACAGTAAAAATTAGGACAGCGTGTAAATTAAAGTACGTAGACAACCTTTTGTGCTACAACAGAATTCCACGATACAAAAGGATAATTTATATCACGGTATTATAAATATTCCGATTTCTTTAAATTTCTTCAAATTTTCTAGGATTTCGATAGGACGAAAAATATTGAGAAGAAATCCTTGCAATTCTTTCCCGCAACTACGATATTAAAAAAAATATGGAATAACGTAGATTTACTTAAAGAGAAATTGCGATTGAATTGTTGCATCAAGGAAGTTCTCAGAGTGTTTAGTTCTGTGATATTTGAAACATACAAGTGTCTTTTATTCCACGACAGAAGTGTGAAAGAAATTCCTGTACAATGGTCTCGAAGATCCTTCTCTCCTACTAAGATTGACGTTTAAAATTAAGTGTATATTTGTAGACTTGGTATTTACGTTTATAGACGGCAGGTGCGTGTTCGAAGATTCTAAACATTGAATTCTCTCTTTGCAGAACTCCGCATTACATCACGTCGGAATCGGTTAAACGGCCGCCTTACGTAATATGGGATCCTAGGAAACCGGCGCAAAATCCCGTGTACAATTGTTTGGTAATCAAATTGTTCTGTCGGACCGGATACCATCTCGGCGTGTCGGCCTCTGGACGTGTTCGAGGCCTAAGTGCCACGAACGAGCCGCATGGTAACTACAACAAAATGAAAATGAAAATGAAAATTCGAAGCTACACGTGAACTAACGAAATTAATCAAAAGAATGCCTTTCACTGATTTTCAGCTTTGCTTCACATTATACCGGTGTCGTTCGGAGTGATTCGAATACAAAGCCTCGAGACCAGTTTGTACTTGGCCTTCAATAAAAAAGGTCGTTTGTATGGTGAGGTAGGTTTCTGGATCTCTACTAAATGATACTACTAAAAATATAGCGAATTGTATTTTTAAAAATTACGAAGTTTGTTACTTTTAAATGTTTGCATCTATTTCATGCTGACATTGGTCTTTCCTAAAACTGATCCATTATCTCAAATGATACAACTGAGCCTGAATCTTACCAATTTATTCCAGCTAAACGGGAACAAAGATAACACAGAATGGGAACAGTGGAACGTCGGCTCCTACGATGCTTTTCGGTCGCGAAAATACGCGAATCAGGGATGGTGGATTGGAATAAAGAAGAATGGACGAGCGAAGCCGGGGCCAGAGACAAATTGGGGCCAAAAGTCGATACAATTCCTAGCGATACGACAAGATTAATTGTATTATTCATTTCTACGGATATTTTATACATCCTTCTTACCTTAAATTAAGCCACGATCGTTTAAATCTCGAGCCAGAAAAAGAAAAACTAATTGCAAGTGTAAGTTTGATCATTGATAAGAGGTGTGGGATCGAGTGGGAACTTTTTAAAGAATCTTGTTGCTGCATTCGCGTGATTTTTTACTAACAACGAAAGTCTACACGTGGGAAATAAATAAATCTCGTTAACTTCCAATAGAATATAATGTTTATTATAACACTATGTTACTCAACAATGAAATAATTTGAGATTGTGCATTCTGCTTGTGCCCATCAACTGAAACTTCATCGCAAGTTGCAGTTTTAAATTGCAATACATTTTGTTTCCTTCTTTATTTTTTCTTTGTCTCTCTCTCTCTTTTTAATTATATTAATCGTTGATCGAACATGCTGCAGGCAAAGTGTCGATCAGTCGGTTTGAATTAGTGTTTATAATTTACACTATGCTCGCAGCATTTATACGAACTCTAATTTATATTAATATATTTATATTTATTTATATGTAATTGTATATATATATATAATTATTTCTTATCTCTTTTGTACATCTACGTACATTGCATACACGTATATCGAAACCCTTAAGCGAAAAGCTTCAATTAAAAAACGCTGGTGTTTGATTAAATACGGTAACTAGAAACATTGATCACCCTTCTTCATTAATACGTACCAAATACGCGAAGAAATCACAATCAACCCCAACGAACGCGATTTAACACTAAAGAAACGGAGTCATACGCCAAGGAAAATCATGCTTAATTATAAAAAAAAAAAAAGAAAAAAATCTTGAGGATTTTTCACCGTCGAAATTGCACGTTTTCTCTCTCTCTCTCTCTCTCTTGTAGACTTCACTGAGATTCTTTGAAGACACATTGCACAGATGCAAAAATGGAGTTCTTTGGTAATAAATAACAATATTAACGTAAGCGTTTTGCAAGCAGAAAGCGTATGCAGTGATTAAAAGAGACGAACAATAGTCGAACAATGAGTGTTCTCGCACGCGCACGTTCAAATCGTAAATTCGTCACTCGTGGCTCGCGGAACATGCGTGATTCGAACGTGCGTGTCACGAGAGAGAATTCTCGCCTGCGGATGAGCTACTCTATGAATAGTATGCACACGAATACGATGAAACGTGTAAACGTGAAACAAGCTGGACACATCATGAACGACGTACTCGGAATTCTTATGTTCTACTATCTAATTTGACCCACCTCTCGTTAAATAAGGCAGTTATTAATAAAACGCGTGTACATACTGTTCACGGAGGAATGACGATCACATTATTTTCTTTAAGATCCCTGTTTCCTTCGGCATTTTCTTATCTAATGCGGCGGCGTGAATTCACTTTTTCTTGGTGTTGGGGCTCGTAGACTGAAAAACACTGGACGCCGACATTAAGTTCTCGATGTACTGGCTCAGCACTTGATTCTCGCTTCTCAGCTTCAGGTTTTCCTCCTTCACGCTGTCTACTCTCTGGGACAAGTCTAGGACAACAAAATGACAACTTCATAAAAGCGAATCAAACAATGTATGAATATATAGTATGTAATGGAGCTGAGTATCATGTGAATATAAAAATTGGACAGTTTGGGAAACTTGCTCACCGTCTAACGTGTTCTGAAGTTCAAGCACTTGGGCAATCAACCTTGCCTTCTCTTCTTGCTCGTCGGGACTTATATCAGGATCTAAGCCTACAGTCACATAATATCACTTTCTTAAATACACTGTCTTAAATACATCGTATTTGTTGAATATAGTGTAAGACTCACTGTTGGGGCTGCAACTTCCATTTGTGAACGTCGATGGTATAGAATCCATGCTGTGTCCACTGCCAAGTGCGTCAGATATGTGGCAGCTGTTGTCTACGATCTCCTCTTCAGGAATTATCACTGCATACAGAAACAATCAAATATTTTACTGGCGAATTCCTTAGAAATTATCTTTCCTTAATAGATTGTACTTGAATGGAAGTACAAAAATTCCTTTGATAAAAGTACATCGAAATTCTACAAGATTTAAGTCATGTTTTAATAAGAATCTCTATATATTTTTGGAGCAATGGACCAGAGAACAACTCGCGACTTATCAAGCACATACTCCAAAATCAATTAACCGTGTCAATCCTAAACTTTCAAAATTTATCTGTTTATTTTTATTATACCATTAATACCGACGATTGAACGGTCAGAGTAACAGAGTTCGATCTGTTCGAAAAGAGAGAGAAAAATGTTTAAGAACAGGTTACAACGAAGAAAGACACGACGATGGAAGCGAAACGAAATGGGTCAGAGACGGGAGACACGAGTTTGCCTACCTTGCGGATCATCGTCTGCCAACGGTATGCTGTTCATGTCATCCAGAAGCTTGTCTGTCATCGACGTGGACATCTTGACGCGTAGGATCCTCTACGAAAGAAATAACACACTTCCAGGCAAACCTGCGCGCAAGTACAACGCTTGACCCTCGCAAGCTTATCGATTTCCACGGGGAACCCGCACGAAACCGTTGCCACGTTTGCCGGTATAAATACGAGATACGATCGATAGTTCGTCAGCCTGTGTGACAAACCGTCCGATCAAAAGATCGGCTGATATAAATTCTTGAATGTGCCGATTGAATTTCTTGGTTGACTCAACGTCGATTGACAGTGCTCTTGCTCGCCATTTGCTTTCTCGCTGACACCTGCAGGCGCCTAATTTCACTATCCCTATATCGATAATACCGTGGTAACCTAAGTTACTCCGATGTGCCATAATTTGATTAAAGAAGACGGATTTCCATTATGATTTTATTTATTATCTTGACGAATGTATGATTGGCAGCGATATTTCTTGCGCTATTCTTTTAGTTATATTTTCCATGTTGTTATGGCATCATTGAGTTATTGATTGTGAATGGAGTTTGATTAGGACAATTGTCAATGTCTGAGTGTTTGAATGGAAGTTAGAGAGCTGCGAGATTTTTAGCGAAAGAAGTTTATTAATATGTAGTATTTTTATATTTAGAGCACAGGGGGGAAATGTGAGGAATTGGCTGAGAAAAATGGAGTAGCAGTATAGCGTCCTCTACAGTTCCATTGCGTACAACAGATGCTTCGTGTCAAAACTTTTCGACGGTAGATATATTACAATTAGAAATCGTATACACGCACGAAAAATTCGAATCTATTATATGATATCAATCAAGCTCGAATTTCGAGGCTGAGTAATTGTAAGATCTCAGATGCCCTGATCGAATAATTATGAAACATAAACGCACAATTAATTCTGCACGAAGTTGTGAAAACGTAGTAGAAAATTTGTGTTTCAGAATTACTTGTTAGAAAGCTGACATCAATCAATATCAAAGTTACGTTACGTTCATAAAGATGTCTAAATTCACAATTCTTTGACACAAAGGAGAAGAGCATTTTGTAATTTTTCTTTAGAAATGAATTTTCAAAATGCACCAAAATAGTAAAGCAATATATTTTTTTTTAAATTTGGAATTTCAGTTCTTTAACATTACTCCAAAATTGTTGGCCATTTAATGTGTTTAATGTATACCTTTAAAACATCAAGAATGAACTACAATGAATGAAGTGAGATCACTATTTAGATACAGAATAATGGTTCTCATTACACTCGATTTGATTTTTCCTTCAATCGATTACTCTTTTACACATCAGTCTTCCTCTACTACATAAATTACATAAATTATATAAATATATAGTATAAAATAAAATACCACAGTATCTCATAAATGATATCTAACTTTACCGTCAATATAATCATAAATCCTTCTTTTATATAGAATCGAATGAGAACCACTTCCAAGTTTCTAACTCGAGTATCAAATATCTCGTTTCCGTGAACTTTTTTTGGGTCAATCGAACCATTCACGTTCACGTACACATTTTCTCAATAGTGATTTAGTATTTACGCTAGTATAGTTCCTTAAAGAATTTAAAGTCGCAGAATTCTCAGAATGTCTCCGAAAGGAATGATTCAACTGATCTGAAATAAATCGTGAAAAAGTTTTTTAAAGTTTTTTTAAGAAGGATCTTCATTTTCTTACATGCTGTAAAAACGTTTTAGAATAAAATAAATGACACACACTTTGAAAGCAGAAGCTTCAAGTTTTAAAACGAGCCCAGGTTTCTTTTTTCAAAATTATAATATCCAAATATTTCTCAAATCGAAAATTTTACGTTCGAATACTTTCATGAACGATTCTATGAAATTCTATAACATTGTAACTTTCTTCCAGAAAGAAAATAATTGTAATCGAAAATCAAGACCAGTGATTGTCTGTTAAGAATAATTACACATTTAACAAAGTTAAATCATTACGCTCGATTCAATAAATAATTTTCAGATATAGTGCAGATATGGCAAAACTATCCATATTTTTTAATTGTAATTCCAATCACTAGTAACGCTGCGGTGTAAAACCTACCTGAATCGGTACAGTAGAATGTGACGTAAAAATTATAAAACGATCTTAAATGGTTACGAATGTGTAACAAAAAAAATGCATTTCATCATCCAATGATTGCATGATTGCATATCAAATCTGCTTATATATTTTGTTTGTGATTATGCATAATAAGACACCCCGTAGAAACTCTCTTAGTCAATGATGGTACAAACCTGGAGTATCCACTGTAGGTACAGAGTTTGCTGGAATAACTAAATCGCCAAAAGTTGATAACATAGAAATAATTTATTGGATTCAAACGCGTGGAAATTTATTCAATTAGAAATAAAGATAGTTTATTCGGTAAAAATCTTAGAGTTAAAGGAGTTTAAAAGCAAAAGAATTAGAGAATTCTTATCATATAACAGATATATACATATACGTTTTCATTGTGAACAAGATTATTCAATATTAGACGTTACTAAATAAACTGAGCGACAATAAAAGGAAGGACTGTTTGAAACTTTTCATTAAATGTTTATACTGCATGCAAATAGAAGAATCATACAGAATTCAATCTGATTTCTCTATCACACGAGCGTCGAATTTCAGTTATTATCGAATTTTATGGAATTCACTCACGCATGCATGATTAATTAATGCAATCGCGAACTGCAAAATATATCTTTTGGATTTGAAAGGAAATTCTTTGGAAGACGATTTAATAGTTATTCGTATTCGCGTTCAGAATACCTTTTCTAATATAACTGGGGGGGGGGGGGGGCCTTGGCATTCTTTCCTTCAATCCGCCACGTCTTTGAAGTTCACCGTCTAAATCCTACGAGGTCGAGCTGCCTTAAAAAGAGAAGTTTCCTCCCTTTGACGTTGGATTTCACGCAAGGCTAAGTTATGCGAAGATGCTCCTTGTTTAAGCGCAAATTGGGTTTGCTCGACGCGAAGTAAGAACCCTCGCGGGGCACAAAGGTCCTCGTCCTTGAAATTAATTCGCAAAAGAGACAAAGGACTATTCGGTGGTCGTAGAGCGCCGTTCAAGCTTCACGGTTGATGAACTGTCGACACGCGCCAAGCAAATATTAGTCGACTGGAAGTGGCAGTAATTGGATAAATAGTTGTCAGACCGTGTCTTCCATCCCTCTGAAGTAGATTTTTATGCGAAAGACAGTGAAAACGTGATCAGTACTTTATTGATGATCGAGCAATTCATTCTTCAGCTTTTTGTGCGAGTCGATTGCTTCTTGGTAGTTCAGAAATTGCAAAGAATTTTCGTTGGATATATGGCGACGAACGAAAGAAAGTTGAAAAGATCACATTTTCAGGAAAGAGTGATGAATAAGTACAAAATATACTTCAAAAATAAATCATTATGGTAAGGTCGCTGTATTGATTGATTGATGACTGAAGAGTATGAAATTCGTATCAAAAGAATAAAAGATTTATAATACGACAGAAGGACTCAAATTTTTATCTATATATTTCACAAGAAATCATTGAAACAATTCAGATTCGTGAAATTGAACACAAATAATTTTAACCATTCTGACAGTTTCAGTGTCAATCAAATTATAACAAGAAGTGAGTAATATTAAACATCATTTTGTCCTTTTAATTTAATTGTTAAATCTAAAGGAGGAAAGGAATCTTTTTTAAATATGATTCTACGAACATACCTACATTCCAAATCGCGTCGCTTTTGTAACGAAGAAGAGATGCGACATGTTATTCCAAAAAATTCATATCGAAGTAAATTCTACAACGTCTAAACGTTTACAGAATCCCAAATTTAAAAAGCAGTTCGCCAGATTTGGAAAACAATGCTCGATTCGATTTCTAGATCTGATCAGGGATCATCGTTTCTTCTGATTCGGCAAAATTGTGCAATTTATTTCATTATATTCGACACGCGTCGCGTTTGATCGATTTTAGTTAATCGCTCGGGGTTATATAGCAGAATTCCTAGCATGCTGGACGCCGACGCACCTATTGATTTTACGGGAGAGGGAGGACGAGAGAGAGAGAAAGAGAGAGAAAGAGAGAGAGAGTTAGAGTGTGGAATAAGAGAGGACAAGGGGGTAAAGGTGGTCCGACAGTCTCCTCTGACCGATGCAGCTTCATTTCCCAGGAGCATTCACTTAGAAACATCTTTTTTACGTTCTACCTCTCGATCAATCGTCGAATAAATGACACGTTGCTACGTAACTAATTACTCGAACGTTGAGCGACAAATTATTCCTCGCCTTTTCCATCGATTTATTACAACACACTGTCTCATTATCTACCATGAAAAATAATACACACAATAATACTTTATTAACCTTTGAATTTTGTGTTTGATAAAATGATTCGTTCGTAGTATACGTATTCCTGAAATTTGAGAAATTTCGGGATTAAGAATTATACTGTTAAGCATAGAAATATAATTTACCAGAAGAGCTTGGCAAAGTTGAGCAGTAATTTTGTGACAATTATTATCAGCTTGTAAAATTAATTATCCTATTATTTTAATATTCAGGAGATTTGAGATTTCGTATTTACAGATTTAAGGAATTTACGTATCTTGATAAAGTAAAGTTAAATGTCCGAAGAACATCGATTCGAAGAATGATAATATTTAAATACTCGAGTGATATGAAACATGACATAAAAATAGACGAAGGAACTGCATATTCTGTTCTCCGTGTGAGAAAGACAAGGTTAGAGAAAGGAAAAACAAGGAGATCGAAGGGATGAATCGTCTGTTGTTTGTGGATATCTCGAATGAAGTGGTCGTACCGGTTGAAGGCGAATACTTGGGTAATCCTCCGATATACGTGAGAGGAAAATCAGATTCCTTAAACGTCAGCCAGCCCAGCAAATTCTGAAGTTCAAGCTGAGCCGGGTGAAAAATTCACGGGGATTTTTTTGCCACGCTCCTCTGCAAATCGTAATAGACTGTCCCTAACTTGTGAAACACGGACCGATCGAATGGGCTGTCATTTTCTATCGAGTATATAGATCTTCAAGAAGTTCCGAAAATATTTATAGCGCAATATATAAATAATAAAATTATTTTTATCACGATTCTAACGAAATATCTTAATTGAAAGAAATAGATAGAAATAGAATACAAGTTTCTGCCCAACGTAAAGAAATTAAATTTCAGTAGCGTAGAATATTACTGAATACAGACGAGGAAATGAAATTGCAACTACCGCATTTTTAATAAACGCAAATAATTCATACCCTGGTATTTTCTAAATTTTATCGACGTCAAAGTATTCTAAAAATATTCGCGTGTGCCAATCACTCGACGAAGGTGGCGGTCAAAGAAAATTTCAGTCCAATGTTTACGAACGGATTGCAATTACGATTTCCGTGCATACCTTCCGTTACACGATGAATTGTAATTATTTGCTTGGCATTTGTCAAACAAAAGCGGTGGTGGTAAAATATTCGCCGGTTGGACGCTTGTTTTCAATTAAATCGTCCGGCGTGATCACAGCGGCCAACGAATCGCGACAAAGCTGCGAAACACGACGGCGTAATTATGCTTCGTTTAAATTCGCCACGATAATCGATGGTCATTAAATGACAACGAGCCACAGAGGAACAGGTACGTCGCTGACTTTGCTTTTAATCCAACTTAACGGCTGAACAATTTGTCCTGATTTGCCAGTGGACGCGCCAGCCTGAAGCAAATTCGTCGAATCCTTTTTTCCTGGCAATCGAAGCGGACGCAACCTCCTCGTGAATTTCGTGAAAATCAAACGTACTTGCTGTTCTTATTGCCTGTCTTTACTCTGATTCGATTTTCCAAAGGTTTAATCGAATTTAGTAGAAACTTAATTTTTTTCACATTTAAAATATATTTCTAGTTAATCAAGTCGTATTGTCAAATTCTATCTTTTAATATCGAACCTGTGCAAAGGAATTCCAGGGATTCGCTTAATATCTTTTTCATCGTTATTCCTTCGACTTAGAAATGTCATGAAAAATTATTAATAGTGTTTTAATAAATGATTTTTTTCTAGAACAGATCGTATTTCGGTATAAAACAGAACTTTAATTTATTGCAAAAGTTACTTAACATTAACGACTCTTACGAGTCGCATAGAACACTCATTACCAGCCGAAGCAACAAAAAAATTCGAAAAAGGATTCTGAAAAATACACTCGGATCATTTATACACGTCGATTATCGACTTTTCTCGCGAAAGCATCCATTAACTTTCGCTCCAGCCCCTTTTTTTGGAGCAGCGAAGGACCGCTCGACTTACAAGGTTGTTCCCTCGAAGTTCACGATGGAAAAGTTGCACGCGAAACGATTTGAGAACCGTCGCTTTAAAGCCCCACTTATCGAGCGCCTAGTTGGTATGATAATGTAATAAAATAAATGGAGGTTGCTGTTTCCCGGCGATATAGACTCTCGTTGTCTCTTTGTCCCGCGGCCACCCGGTTCGATCTTCCTCGTTGGCGAGCCACCCTCCTCGAAATCTCTCCTCCTCGTCGCACCACCGCCACTTTCGATTCCTCCGTCTCGTTTCGTTCGAGAGTCTCGCTCCTCTGGTCTTTCCTCACTCCGACCCACTCAGTTTCATTTCAACGGAAGCGCCCTCCCTCCCCCCACAAAATCTGGCCGGCTGCCGAGGGGTTGCCACGGGGATCCCCACGAGAAGGTAGAAGGGAATGGAGCTCACCTCGAAAGCGAAATACAACAAGTCCCGCCGCCATTGCTGGGTCACCCTTCAACGGGAGTTTTGTCGTTGCGTGGGTGGGGGTTTGACGGCCCTGTGCGACGAGTCATCCCCTTTCGACCCCGACCGAAGCTTGTGCTCGCGTGGGGTGGGGCTGAGAGAGAAAGAGAGAAAGAGGATAGAGTGTGTCTTCTGTTCCGTACTGTTCTGAGGGGAATTGAGAAAGAGACGGATGTGTTAAATAAAG